TAGTTGCTTATTAGTGTCAAGTTTTTTTGTTGATTAATTTGCGGGTTGATACATAGACAATCGTTATCATCTATTAACAAACACAGTTTGTTTGTTGCTTCTCAGTCTGTATGTTTTATTTCCTTTTCTTGTCTTATTGTACCATCTAGTACTTCCAGTATGATGTTGAATAGAAGTGATGAGAACAGACATCCTTGCTTTGTTCCTGATCTCAGTGGAAAGGCAACTTGTTTTTCATCAATAAACTTTTATGTCTAATATTTACTGTTTTCTTTCTATGTTAATTTTTGTTATTAAAAATAAAAAATTAAAATTAAATATACAAAAGAAGGAAAATGACTATAACCCATAGTTCACCATAAAGTGTAGGTATGTTCTTATAATTCTTGTGTTCGTTGTTGCTGTTATCACATCTTTATAATCATACTGATTATTCAAGTTATCATCTCGATGCTTTTTTATCTTAAGTATTTTAATGTTACTACCTATTCTCTGAAAACGTTAATGACTCTGTAACATTTCATCAAATAGCTTTTCATGAAAAACTATTTCATGCTTTAGGTAATTATTCTCCTATGGATGGATCTTTATTTCTAATTTTCCTCTGTTAAATAATGCTACTATAAAAATATTTGTGCATGGAACATTTTATATATTTAGAATCAATTCATTATGACAAATTTCTGAAATTCTTGGATCAAAAGATATGAAAAAATTTTAAGTTCATGACATATTGGTGACTCGCTTTTATTGATTTGCATATATTGAACCATCCTTGCATGCCTGGGATAAAACCCACTTGATCATGGTGGATTATTTTTTGGATGTGCTGTTGAATTCAGTTTGTTAGTATTTTGTTATGGATTTTTACATCTATGTTCATAAGGAATATTGGTCTGTAGGTTTCCTTTCTTATTGTATCCTTTCCTGGCTTTGGTATCAAGGTGATACCAGCTTCCTAGAATGAGTCAGTTCTCAATGTTATGGAACAGTTTCCGTGGAATGGGTGCCAGTTCTTTGTAAATCTAGTAGAATTCCGCTATGAATCCATCTGGCCTGGGCTTTTTTTGTTGTTGCTGGGAGATATTTTTATTACTGTTTCAATCTTGCTACTTGTTATTGGTCTGTTCAGGATTTCTAGTTCTTTCTGGTTCAGGCTTAGGAGGTTGTATGTTTCCAAGAATTTACCCATTTCCTCTAGGTTTTCTAGTTTGTGTGTGTAGAGGTTGTCATAGTAGTCAGGGATGATATTTTGTATTTCTGTGGTATCAGTTATAATGTCTTCTTTTTCATTTCTGATTAAGCTTATTTGAGTCCTTTCTCTTCTATTTCTGGTTAATCTAGCTAGTGGTCTATCAATTTTGTTTATCTTTTCAAAGAACCAACTTTTTGTTTCATTGATTCTTTGTATTTTTTTTTTATTTCCATTTCATTTAGTTTTGCTCTGAGCTCCGTTATTTCTTTTCTTCTGCTAGCTTTGGGTTTGGTTTGTTCATTTTTCTAATTCCTTGAGGTGTGACATTAGGTTGTTAATTTGTGATCTTTCTGTATTTTTGATGGAAGCATTTAAGGATATAAACTTTCCCCTTAGCACCGCTTTTTCTGTATCCCACAGATTTTGGAAGCTTGTGTCACCTTTGTCATTCAATTTGAAAAATTGTTTATTTCCATCTTGATTTTTGTCAATAACCCAAGGATCATTCAGCAGCAGGTTGTTTAATTTCCATGTATTTGTGTAGTTTTGAGAGTTCCTCTTGGAATTGATTTCTAATTTTATTTTACTTTGGTCTGAGAAGGAAGATACATGGAGGTTCATGATATGTTGGAAAATTGCTTTCCATGAGTAGTGTACAAATTTACATTCCAATCAACAATGTCTTACAATCTCATCAATATGGGTTTTTGTCATTTATCATTTTTATTTTTGCTAATTTTATAAGAGAAAACATTATAGTTATTTTTATATGTTTTTAATTACTGATGATTTAAATTTTTTCATTAGCTATATGTCGCATTTCCTCTTTTGTACTTTTTTTTTTTTTTGAGACAAAGTCTCACTCTTGTCACCCCAGGTAGAGTGCAGTGATGTCATTGTAGCTTACAGCAACCTCAAACTCCTGGGCTCAAGCTATCCTCTTGCCTCAGCCTCCCGAGTAGCTGGGACTACAAGCGTGCACCATGACACCAGGCTAATTTTTTCTATTTTAGTTGTCCAGCTAATTTTTTCTATTTTAGTAGAGATGGGATCTTGCTCTTGCTCAGGCTGGTCTCGAACTCCTAACCTTAAGCAATCCTCCCACCTTGACCTGCAAGAGTGCTATGATTATAGGTGTGAACCACCACGCCCAGCCTGTACATTTTTTTAATTCATGTTTTTTGGCCATGTATCTGTTAGAGATTTGTGGTTTTCTTATTGATTTGCATGAATTACTTATGGCCATTAGCCTTACTTTGGCCATTTGCCCTCTAGATTTGCTCTAACATTTTCCAAGTTTATTATTTACAATTCAATTCTGAAATTTTTATATATTTTAATTATAATTAAATTATTTGTATATCATGTATAAATATAACCATATAATCTATATATTTATATAATTTAATATTTCTTTTATCTTTTTTAAATTAATTAAATTATTAATCCACACTTCTGTCTTCTAGTTTTCTGTGGCTATATATTTTTTAAATTGTGGTAAAATACATATAATATAAAATTTACCATCTTCACCATTTCTGTGGCTATATATTTTTGAATTAAATATATTTGTGAGGATCTAAATTATTACATTTTGAATTTTATTTTCATAAATAATGAATTAATTGTACCAACTCCATTTATTCAGTAGACAATTATTAAGCATTTACTCTGATAAGCAATGATAAAAATTTGGATTAGAGGTAGTTTTGCCGTCTAGTGGAGGAGACAACAACTCCAGGATTACGTGATCAATGCGGTGAGAGAGCCATAGGTAGGATACTACTGGTACATTCATTTATTCGACATATACTTTAGTGACTACTGCATGTCAAGTGCTGTGCAGGGCCCCAGATAGTCCACAGGGAACCAAACAGTCATGGTTCCTGTTTTGTTTTTTAAAAGAGAGACAGAGGAGAGAGAAAGAGAGAGAGGGAGAGATTGAGAGAGAGAAAGAACATGCTTACAGTCAAACAGAGGATACAGATAAATTTATTGTGGATTTACTGCGTGATAAATATCATAATAGAGAAAACATGAGCTTCCATGGGAACACAGAGGAGATCCATCTAAATCCAGTCAAACAAGGCAGTCAGAAAGGCCTTCCAGAGGAGGTATTGGGTTTTAAAAAGCAGATAAACATGAGCTCAATGAAGGGAGAAATACGTCTTATGCAGAGAGCACACATACCAAGCCACAGGGATATGAGTGAGCAGGATGTGTACAATTTATTAAAAGTCGTTTGTTATAGCTGAAGAGAAGGGTGCTGCATGTAGTCAACTGATGGGAAATGAACTGAAAATATAGGCAGGAGCCAGGACAAAGTGTCTTTTGTACTAAATCCTCGCAGCAATTCCTGAACAATCTTTCCCTTTCACAATAAAATAAGAGTAATGGTTATTGAGCACTTCCTATGTGTTGGCCTCTTTTCTAAGTGCCTTATATAAATTAACTAATGCTCACAATAATCTATGAAGTACATATTATTATTATGTCTTTTCTTACTTAAGAGGAAACTAAGGGCTGGGTGCGGTGGCTCATGCCTTCAATCCTAGCACTTTGGGAGGCCAAGGCAGGACAATTGCTTGAGGCCAGGAGTTTAAGACCAGCCTGAGCAACATAGCAAGACCCTGCCTCTACAAAAAATAGAAAATTGGGCCAGGTACGATGGCTTTGCGCCTATTGTCCCAGATACTCAGGAGGCTGAGGCAGGAGGATCACTTGAGCCCCCGAGTTTGAGGTTGCAGTGAGCTACGATGGCACCATTGTACTCTAGCCTGAGCAACAGAGTGAGACCCTATCTCCAAAAAAAAAAAAAAAAGAAAGAAAGAAAGAGGAAACTGAGGTACAGAAAGCTTAGATAACTTATCCCAAGTCACATAGCTATATTTAAACTCAGGCAGTCTAACTCCAGAGGCCAAACTATTAACCACTCATCTTCTCATTAATGTATACTTTAAATATTTAAAATATTAAATTTGTATAAGTTATTTGGAGGCTATAAATTCTGTATATTTCTTTCTGTTTGTTCTTATTCTGGAATCACGCTATTTAAATTGTTATTTTTTTTGTTTCAATATCTGAATGTAGTCTATGCCTTCACTATTGTTCAGATTTTTCTTTCTTTCCGTTAATAATTATTGACTATATATTCTTCAAATAAACTTTCACAATAATTTTGTTGAACTAAGATTTGGGATTATAGGATTTGGGTTAAAAATGCATTAAATTTATAAATTAAATGTTCAATGAAGTGTTTCCATCCAGAAAGTGCTATATTTCTTCTTTTAGGTCTTTCTTCAAATCTATCAATACTTTTTTATAATTTTTTAAAAATAGTTAACGCTTATTAAGTTTATTCTTACATGTGTTATAATTCTTGTGGAAGTATGTCTTATTATGTTTTCTAACTCTTTATTATTGGTATGTAGGAATGCTATATTTACGTGTATATAAGATTGTTTTTCCTGAAATGTGAGATAAAATTACTGTTGAAAAACTCCAAAATTAGAAGAGGCATACCTTATTCAACAATGTCCAAAACATTCAAAAAATATGGGTCGGTATGAAAGGCTACACAGAAAATGTGTCGTCCGTATTTGTTGTTTGCACGTGTTTTAGGTGCACGTTCAAACCACGGGCGCCGGTGCATTCCCATCTACCGTTTCCCACGGTGCGAGAGGCCGGGACGCGCGGCGCCTGCGGGCCCCCCGCCCACGTGCCCCCGGCGACCGTGCCGTCCCGCGGCCGCGGCTAATCATTGACAGGCGCGCGGCGGGGCTCGGGATGCGCGGACGCTCGGCGCCGAGGCAGGGCCGCGCGCCGCGGGAAGCCATGTCCCGCGCCGGGCTGCAAAGATCCGTCATCCTGTCGGCCTTCATTGTGCTGCGAGCTGCCACCGGACTCTCTGGAGACGGAAGAGCTGTATGGTCGAAAACTCCGAGTTTGAGCCCGGTAAATGAAAGTCAGCTTTTTCTGTACGACACTTTCCCTAAAGACTTCTTCTGGGGTGCTGGGACGGGAGCATTCCAAGTGGAAGGGAGTTCGGAGAATGATGGAAGAGGACCCTCCATCTGGGATCGTTTCGTCCACACGCACCTTCGAAACGGCGACAGCACGCATGGTTGCAGCGACAGTTACGTGTTTCTGGAAAAAGACTTGTCAGCCCTGGATTTTATAGGAGTTTCTTTTTACCAGTTTTCCATTTCCTGGCCAAGGCTCTTCCCCGACGGGGTAGTGGGAGTCGCCAACGCGCGGGGTCTGCGCTTCTACAACGCGCTCCTGGACGCGCTGGCGCAGAGGAACATCGAGCCCGTCGTCACCTTGTACCACTGGGACCTGCCGTGGGCGCTGCAGGAGGAACACGGGGGCTGGAAAAACGAGACCCTAGTAGGGATCTTCAATGACTACGCCACGTACTGCTTCCAGACGTTTGGGGACCGCGTCAGATACTGGATCACAATTCACAACCCGTACCTGGTCGCGTGGCACGGCTATGGGACGGGCGCGCACGCCCCCGGGGAGACGGGAAACTTGGCGGCCGTCTACGCCGCGGGACACAACCTGCTCAAGGTACCGTGCTGGGCCGCCTGCTGTGGCTTCGGAACACACAAGACACCTGCCTTCTGTCTAAATAGCTCTCCTTACTGAAATCAGCACAGCTAATTTTAGGCTAATGTCAACGATTAGAATTTTCATGAAAAAATGTTTCAATGATTAATTTAAAGCCTTAAAAATTGGCCATCTGATAAAAATAAACAGGAAAAACTTTTGCCTAACAAATAGGTATTGCTTCCAAACTTAGCTGATAAAGTGCTGTATTTTCAGATGTTTTTCATTTCCTCTAATGTGAGATAAGCTCTGCCTTTAACGTACAATTAGAACTTTCTGACCGTGAGATATATTTTATTTTGAGTTGAGGCATTCATTTTCAAACTATTGTGTTTTCCAAATAATTTCTTTTATCTCCTTAAAATTTCTAAATCACTAGCCTAAATAAATGGTGTGAAGGGTCCCTTGAAATCAGTCAGAAAGTGAAATACGCTGCATAACCCAGTGACATGTGGCACTAGAGAGAAATCTTGCAATGGTCTGGTAGCCTGAGGTGAACTTGTATTTCTTCCCATTTGTTCCCTCGCTGTCCTTACCGTAACACAGAAAAGATTAATTTGATATTTTATGTGGCAATGAAATATTTCTTCCTTATTGTGCCCCCTTGTGACCCAGAAGAAGCATTCTTTAGGATTAGTTTTTAGTCCAAAAACATTTATTGAGCTAAATAAGCCTAATATAAAACTGAATTTGTGGGTGGTTAGAGACTACTCTATTCTCTAATTCTCAGATAGTGAAAAGATTTTGTAGTGGCTACCGAGGTCCTTTTAGTTCCAGAATGATCTTGGAAACTACATTTCAGTTTGAAATGTTCCAGTTTAGAGGAAACATGAATGGCCCAGCAGGTCCCAAGACTGACCTGGAATTTAGATTCCACTTCATGGCAGCTCTGGGGGTTACCTTAGCGTTAAGTCTAAGCCTCGTGAAAAATTTCCCATAATTACACCTACTTCAACTCTGAGTTTTTAACAGTATTTGGAACAGAATGAGGATGCGTTTTTTGGCTTGGCCTTCTTTAAGCATGGTAATTATCAATTTAAATATTATCTATAATCTTTGCAACAACCTTGCCAGGTAACTATTATCCTCATCGTACAGAGTGATGGTTTCTAACACGTAACAAGTTGTTCTGCATAAAATCCCTTAGTGGCTCCTCCTAAATTTTGGAGTAAAGTCCCAATTTTTCTAAGACCCCCAAGACACAACTCCTGCCCTCCATTCCAGCCTCCTTCGTGGCCACCCTCCTATCCCACTACCAAAGCCATCCCTTTGCACCCCATGGTCCATCATAATACGCTCCTGGCAGCATCTCTTTCTTACCTTGTTATTCCTCTCCAACCAACCTCTACTGGCTCGCTCTATCCAGCCAAAATACCCTCCTTTACCCATTTAATGTCGTCCTTCAAGACGCACTTTAGACAGTCACCACTTCTAAGTTATTCTTGACTCTGTAGGGTCAAGAATACTGTTCTATGGGCTCCCGTAAGATGTGCTTGTTTCTGGCATTGTACTCATACCATATGGTACTTTTTTGTCTCCCCAACTAGACTGAGAGTTCCTTGAAAGGAGAGAAAACTTTCTGTCTTTGTGTGCCCAGCATCTAGCACAGAACATTTGGTTCATGATAGGTATAAATGTTGGTTGAATGAATGGTTTAGGTTAGGATTTCTATCTTAAGCCTTGTAATCAAAAACCAGTCTCAAGTTCAATCTTCATATTTCATTGCATTATTGCTAATTCTTGAAATATTGCCGATACTAATCTAGCAGGACTTGTTTGGTTGCAACTGACAGAAATCTAATTCAAGTTGGCGTAAGCAAAAAGGGGCAATTCCCTGGCTCTGTAGCCGCCCACAGGGGTGAATGGGCTCAGTGACCAGGGCACCCTCAGAAGGCCCTTTTTCTCAGTCTTTCATGTACATTTCTTCTTGTGGGTTGGTGTCATTTTCTGATTTGTAGAAGGAAGATTTTTCTCTCCCAAGTCTGGTTTTTAAAAATTCCAGAGACAGATTTGGCCTGTTCAGCAAAGCCCCACGGTTTCACATTGGTAAAGGCAGTAATGGTGTCTTTTTTCATTCTATTTTTAAATCAATAAATACACATAAGAATTAAAATTTATAGATTTCCCTTTTGGAATGGAACACTTGAGAGCCTCCGAGTTAAACATGCGCAGAGGTTGGGGAAGACGAGTTTGCTCATGAGACAGTAACTCATTCGGTTTATTATTCCACTGAATGCTGCCAGCTTCCATGATAGTTTTGACCATTTCGTGGCTTTAAAATGTTATCTTTCATAGATAGATAGTGTTTACATAGCACAATGATTTCTGAACCTTGGCACTATTGACATTTGGGGCCGGCTGATTCTTTGTTGTAGGGGCTGTCCTGTGCAGTGTAGGATGTTTGGCAGCGTCCCTGGCTTCTACTCAGCAGACGACAGTAGAACCCCCACTTCCAGGGTTGTGCAAACCAAAATGTCTCCAGACATTGCCAAATGTCCCTTGGCAGTCAATGTTCCTCCCTCTCCCTCTAGCTCTTGAAAACCACTGACTCACACCTATAGTAGACAACTGGTTAAAAGGAAGCATAGGAGAACAAGGGCATTGAAATGTAATCAGTATGAGGGGCAGAAAAATGGTTATAATTTTACAAAATTGCCTCAAGGAGATTTTCACCAGATCTATAATTCACATACATAAACTCAAAATTAATTTATGGACTATTCTGTTTTTAGAAAAGAAACAATGCTTTCAAAAATGTTAAAAAAGGAAAAAATATATAATCATCAATATGATGACACCTCGTCTGGCTTTTCACACACAGGGAATGAAGACTCCCCACTGGCTTTGCCTTGTTTGCGAGACACTTGAAAGACCTGCCCCAAACCATTAATATTTATGAACAAAACATTAAACTTACTTCAAAAAAACTTGTCGTATTTTAAAAGGCAAAATTCAAGAATTCAAATGAAACGATACAGAAGGAATTTTTATCCATTTTTAATGCCATAACATCGTGTTTCACAAAGTTTGGGTTTTTTGTGTATCACTTCATGTTGGTTTTTTGCTTGTCTGCTTGCATATCCAAGTATCATATGTAGTATTATTTAGTGAAATATTTTTTTAAATGAATTTTGAAAGGAAACTTTACATACTACTATAAATAAAGAACCAGTATTTTTTTTTTTGAGACAGAGTCATGCTCTGTCGCCCGGGCTAGAGCGCCGTGGCGTCAGCCTTGCTCACAGCAACCTCAAGCTCCTGGGCTCAAGCGATCCTCCTGCCTCAGCCTCCCGAGTAGCTGGGACTACAGACATGCGCCACCATGCCCGGCTAATTTTTTGTATATATTTT